AGCCACAGGTGCCCCCCCCCCCACCAGCCCCAGGTGGCCTTACCTGAGCTGGAGAAGAGGGGCTGGGCCCGGTCATGTGGGTAGTGGACTCCGGGGAGCAGGCCTGGGGCGGGGGGCCTGCTGAGCACATCCAGCTTGGTGCCCACCTCCAGCTTGTGGGGGTCCAGCTGCATCTGCGGGGACAGAGGTGTCCAGGGCGCTGCCCCGCCCGCCCCGCTCAGGGAACCTTGCTCGGCGCCCCCAGGCAGGGAGCTGCGCCCGAGCTGGGCCCTCACAGGAGCCTCCCCTGCATTTCAGCCTCCGTTTGTTGCTGAAGCTCAGGTGCCCGCCAGGGAGAGGACAGGGCACAGGGTCGAAGGCTGGGGGGGGGGACTGGGACCAGCACAGGTGAGTGACCGCCCCATCCACAGGGTCTGCTCCTTCCAACCCGGGTCGCCTGGGTGACACGGTGGCCCCACCCACACAGTCCTGTCTCCTCCCAGCCCTGCCCAGCCCCCGGCGAGGGAGGCAGCAAACCCGAGGCCGAGGGTCACAGGGTCGAAGGTCGGCAGGCGGCTCACCTTCAGCCTCTGCTGGTGGCGGTAGGTCTGCCACGCGATCTGCACGTGCACCGCGCACCACTTGCCCGGCTTCTGCGGAGGGGTGAGCGCTCAGTGGGCCTCCTCACCCATCACCCCGGGTCTTGGGGTCCCAGGGCACTCAGGGACTCCCAACAGGTACCCAGATCCCCCCGGCCGGGGGCCTCCCCTCGCCCAGGAGACGGCCCACACCTGCCCCCGCTCACCCTGACCGCTGTCCGGTACGGCTCGGACACCTGTGGCCGACAGAGGAGCAAGCGTTAGGTGGGCCCGGCCACAGCCCAGCCCGGGGGAGGGGGGGACGCTGCCCAGGAGGGAGGGACCGCTGGGCGGCTGCCACCTACCCCGGGGCCCTTCGGCAGCAGGGTGTGGACAGCGCTGGTCCGGCCCGTTACCTCGATTGGGTTTGAAGTCTGAGGGGAGAGGACAGGATGAGAGGCTGTGGAGGCCCAGGCCCGACAGCACCCATTCCTGAGTCGCCCTGCGCGCCGCCCCCTGCGTCCTGGGCTCAGGGGGAGGAAAGGGCTCTTGATAGTGAGGTGCCCGGGCTGGGCCGCAGGGAAGGGGAGCAGAGGGAGCCCAGTCCCCGGTCAGGCCTCAGGTGCCTCCTGCCCCCAGGACCGCACCTGCACGCTCCCCCAACCCTGAGCACCACTGCTAAGCTGCTGCCCAGACTGGGGCCCCACTGAGGGTTCGGGGTTCTGCCTTGAGGCTGAGTCCCCAGGGGAGGTGTGTGTGTCCGGTGCCCTCCGCACGCTGCCACCCCTACCCTTGGGGACACCCCGGGCCTCCCGCCTCCAGGGACAGCCAGTACCTTGGGCTGAAAAGCGCCCTGCAGGGACCCGAAGGGGCCTGGGTGTGGGAGCAGGGAGGGCAGTCCTGGGATGGCGGGCGGGAAGGACGGGAAAAACTGCAAGAGAGGAAGTGGGGCGTCCAGGCTCCAGCTGAGCACTCAGGTCCTGGGGGGACGCCGGCCCCGCCCTCGGGGCCCCCACCCTCCTGTTCAGAAGCACAATCGCCCCCCACCCCGCAGCCCCAGCCTGGCCCAGCACCCAGCGGACCACACGGGGGCCAGAGGCAGGGCCACTCACGTTGGAATGTCGCAGGTAGGGGCTGTCCAGCGTGGGTGTGTACTTGTCCAACTAGAGGGGAGAGAGGGAAGGGTGAGCCGGCCCTGCCCACGGACGCCCTCCAGGGGCCTGTACCCCCCACCCCAGCAGGCCCTGAGGGGGCCTAGGTGGCCATCCAGTCTCCGGGGCTGGGCTGCAGCCAGCTGACCAGGCCCCCGAAGCACACTCGCCGCCAGGCCTTCTGCTGTGGCAGCCGAGACGGGAGGAGGTGCTGCACGTGGGGGCATAGAGATCCCCCTTTTGGCCTCATCTGAAGGTGCGCTGCCCCCAAGGCCTCCGTGCCCAGTACCACCCACCTCTGTCCACCAGGAGGGAGATAGAGTCAGTGGTACCTGGATCATGTGACAAAAGAGGGGCGTGGACTGGAAGGGTGGCCCAGCCATCCCTAGAATGGATAGTGCACCCCTCTGACTTCAGGGGCCCGCTTAGGACACAGAAACCAGGAGGCCTGGAGCTGCTTTAGCAGCTGGATCAGGAGGCCAGGCCCTGTGGCCTGGGGAACACGAAGGGCCGCAGCCCTGCCATCCTGTCGCAAACTGAGACGTCCCGGGCCCTGTGTGAGGACCGCTGGGCCCAAGACCACGTCCCAGGTGTGTGCACATGGGGTGCCTGCCCAAGCCCAGGACGGGGGA